CCCCTGTGCCACCCCCAGCGCCTCTCGGCCTTTCCCCCACACCAGAGATGCCCCAGGCCGCACTGGAGCGGGGGCTGCCGCAGGGACCTGGAGCAGGGAATGTGGTGCCACCAGCAGAGCTGGCATTGACAGGATGAGAGAAAAAAAAATCACCTTCTCCCAAATTTGGATTTTTTTTGGTGGTTATCCAAATGCAAAAAGTGCTAAAACAGGAGGGAGCTGGCGGCACTCGCATGGCTTGGGCTTGCTCCAAGTCCCGGGGGTTCGGAGAGCTCGGGAGGGAGCAGCGCGTTGGGGGCACTTGGGCAAAGGGCGCAGCCTTGAAGCCGGCAGAAGGGGAGGCAGGGGCTCGAGGCCAGGGGGAGGGGCGGCAGGGCGACACGCGGGGCTGTCCCTGCGCCGTGGCGGGCGGGCGCCGCGTACGAAGCAGGTAAAGGTTTGGCACTTACTGATGGATGGCTTGGAGGAACTTACGCTGGTGTTTCCGAACTTTGGCATGGTCGATCTTCTTCACCAGCTTGGTGTGTTTGTAGATGAGCCACGTTTCCCTGAGTACGTTGGCGGCCGCGTTTTTCACCTGCAGGGACAGACGCGGCCGCTCAGGGGCTGCGGGCAGCTGGGGTCCCACGCGCGGCCCCTCGTCGTGGGGGACGCTCACCCGCTTGGTGAGCTGCGTGTCCATCATGAAGTTGTGCACGTGCTTCTCGGCTTTGGTGAGCTCCAGCTTGCGGGCAACGACGGCAACAACAAGGGCCGTGCAGCCGGCACCCTGCGCGCGGGGCGAGAACCGCACGGAGCGTTTCCCCTGGGCCGGGGCAGGAACAGGCAGCGGGACCCCCCCGCTCTTCGCGCCACGGCCGCCCCGGTGCTCACCATGATGCCGGTGAGGAGGCAGACGCCCTTGCCGCAGTACGTGTGCGGCACCATGTCGCCGTAGCCGATGGAGAGGAAGGTGATGGAGATGAGCCACATGGCGCCCAGGAAGTTGCTGGTCACCTCCTGCTTGTCGTGGTACCTGCCAGGGATGCGGGCAGCGCCATCAGCCCCGGCCCCCACCGGCTTTGCAAGGCAAGGGCAATGCGGAGCTCTCGGACCCGCCTCGGGCATCGGCATCCCAGGACACTGGGAGCTGCTGCAGCTTGAGCTGAGCCCCCGTTGGGGACGGAGCCCCCCGACCTGGGGGTGCCACAGCAAACCTCAGCCCTCCTGAAGCTTGTCCCGAGGATCTCCAAGCATTTCCCAAGGATCTCAAAGCACAGAGCGTGATTCCCAGCCCCCAGAGCGCCCCGGTCCTCGAGGATGCGCTCTGTCCCCGCAGCCCCCAGCACG